TTTCTTAAATTTAAAACGAAATAAAAAACAAAACAATTTTCGGTTTTTTCGGTATTGTACATATTAACGCAGTTATTGATAAAGAATAGCAATGAACTTGGTAATTAATCTGACAAATTATCTCATACGCGTTTTAGGTATCGCGCACGTGCCGACTAAATATTTCTTACGTCGCGTGTTTCGCATTCAACGAGCAACACGAAGACACGTTACTTGTACAGAGAGCGCGCGTAGGGTACGAATCGCGTAAAGATATGAACGATAGGGTTTTTGTATGAGGAAAAAAAAAAATCTAAAATTAAACGCATCGATGCTTATCGGTTATCACAAATTTCGCGTTAAGCGCATTGTGGGGGGCGTCGCCCCGCGGGTCCGTGACGTGTCTGTATTTTAGCGAACCCCCCCCCCCCCCCCCCNCCCCCCCTCCCGTCGGTGGTCTAGAAGCGCGTACGTGTCGACGGAACACAGATACCCATAAATACCGCGCGCCTAAATTGTGGAAAAAAAATCGCGGCGTTATGCCGCCCCTCGCGTACAACCGCGTCGTAGTTTTGCGTACCACGCGCCCGTAACCGTGGCGCAGAAATCACGTCGCCGGTTTTTTTACCGCCCGCGAACGGCTTAAATTCGACACTTACACAGATACGCACGTCGAAACCATTCGACCGTTCGTAATGGCCCGTCCGGCGGAAACGGATCATTCGCAATAATTTGGTTTTATACGTACCCACAGAGATATTTCGAGAACACGCGCAGTTAACAAAAGTCACTCGCACACACACACACACACCAAAATTGTCCTACTACACATCCACGAACTCAAACATACGCACGCCCCTCGCCCCTAGAGAGCGCACGCAGTTGCACTGTTCGCTAACCTGCACCTACGTTTTTGCCCAACACACCAGCCGTTGGTCGATCCTTAAACGCGATATCGGTCCGTCTTATTGATAAATCGATCATTGACGGGCGTATCTAAAAAAAAAATACATCGGCTCTTGTCGTAGTTCTTCTCATCTCCAAGTACGCCCCACCACGGTCTTCGCCCACGCAATTTCAACCATCGCGCTATAATTGCACTATAATTATGCGATAACGACGGTGTTTCGTTGAAAGTCCTGTTTATTAAATTTCACGTTTTTTTTCAGGAAGCTAAACAAAACTGTTTGGCAAAAAAAGCGCGACGATATTCAATAACGGTCTAGCGGCTGCTGGAATTATTTCTACCACGAATCACCGATTTAACTTTACAATTCCGAATAAAATTTTTCAAATTCATAAAAAAATGTCCGCAGTATTAATTTTGTTCAACGAATCGTGTTTTGTAAAAACTTAACGTTTTTTGTCGTCACGTGTCTTAAAACCCGGGCACTCATCACGACCCGGCCACCCGTTTGTTGTTTTATAACGTTTTTTGTCGTCACGTGTCTGAACACCCGGGCACTCATCACGACCCGGCCACCCGTTTGTTGTTGTTGTTGTTTTTTTTTTTTCTCTATAAATCACGCGATTCAAATGTATCCCATTCGGACCGGCCACTGAATCGCAGATGTTTGTCACGGAAAACAATAAAATTACTCGCACATGCACAATAATAATACCTTGTACGCAAAGTACACGCGCTGCATTGAATGCGGCGCACGTCTTTTTGACAAATCCGCAGTGTTGGTTTAATTTATAATATGTTTTAAAAAGACGCCCGGATATATTTTAGTCGACATTACAAACTTCGTTTTCCGTACATTTAAATACGCCCATTTACCAGTTTATATACTACTCATTTTTCCGATTCACCAAAAATGGATTTTTCGATTTTTAACGGTATGCGCCCATTTAACGAAACACCGTCGATATAAAAACAATTCTGGAGTTTGGGTGAAGAATGGGGCCAATGTCGCTTTTCGGTGAAAACGAGCTCTATGCACGGCCCCGATCGTAGAAGATCAACGTTTTTTAGAGAAATGAGAGTTTGTAGTTTGCACCGAAACGAGCGCATCCGCATAATGTATGCGAGTATGCGATTGTCAAGCCGGTCTATTCGATTGGCCCGCGGCGGCACAATAGAAAATTTTAGCCGACCATTACTGCTATTTTTAAAATTCCAAAAACTATCGTTTTCTTCAAGTCAAGTGTATCTTTAACGCTATTCCGTTTCCAAAGAACGGATTTACACTCGTTTCATAAAACATTATTATTGCGTTAAATCATTTGATCGGCACCCTCAAACTTTCACACATTCCGTATAAAACCAAACTATTTAAAATTGACAATAAAATAAGTAGGTCCTGTGTCCATTTAGCTTCTCGTATATCAATATATTATTGTGCTCGAATGTAAGAAAAAAAAAAAAAAAATGTTGGCGCAAATCACAACCGTTGCACGTATTTAGGGTCGATTTCGGTGCGAATCGGCTACACCCAGAACAATTACTATTGCATTGTCGTAAAGGCTCGAAAACCGATTAATACCGACGAGATTGGCCCGCGTAGCCCCAGAATTATACGCGGCAGCACAATTCGCCGTTTTTCCGCCTTTCGCGCCTGTACGGGAGGATCGGCCCACCGTCCCGGGTAAAATCGATCGAGCCGCGAAATTCGGCACCCGACCGCGGCCGCGCAGTCATCCGCAGAGGTGCGCGCAAGTGACCTCACCTCACCCGCTCGCCGGCCATCCGACGCTCGACGCCCTTCTCGCATCGCCCTCGCGCGGTTCCCAGCGTCCGCCGCCACCCGCCCGCCACCGCAAATCCGCGCGGCGTTCGCCGAGTTTGTCGCGCGTCCAATCCCGTCGCCATCGTTACCGGGGGCCGTTTTCCGGGCGACCCCGGGATTTCGCCTCGATCGATCCGTCGTCGTGACACACCCTTCACGGCGACGACCAAGGGTACCGGAGACCCTAAGCTCACTCGCACCGGAACTGTCTCGACCGTCGGTCGCGCGGCGCCGGAACGCGAATGCCAATCGCCTTTGGTGCGCGTTCACCGCCCGATCACCACTGGCGTCCCAAGTCGGCCGTCCTATGCACACGCGGTTCGCCAGCCGGCCCTCGTCCATCCCCGTAGACGCCGCCGACAGCCACCGGAGCCAACGTTCCTCGCAATCCGGCAGGTAGTATTTTATAATATCTGTCGTTTTATGTAACTATCCGCCATGAAATTATGATGGTGTTAAAAAAAAAAAAAAAAAAAAACGAGTCGTTCAATGAATTTTAGACTGCGGAAAATTCCACGAGTTTGTGACATTTTATTGAAACTTAACAGATTCCGATACATATTCGTGAGCAGAAAAAACCTAAAAAAAATACTACGAGTCGCCGCTGGTTATGAGCCACGGCGCATAATAATACAGGTTTGAACTTTTCGCGATCAAACGAGACTTAACGGGTCTGAAAATGAGATCGGGTACACACAATATTATGGTATATCCGGTGCACGTAGGTAGATTTCGTCCGATTGCGATTTTACAAAATATAACCGTTACATTATGATACTCTGTCCGCGTTGTGAAAAACGAAGAAAAAAAATCAATCGTTCGACAACCCATTTCGGCGAACGGTATAGTGGCCTAGGGTGCGATAATTATTATTACACTGTTTTATCCAAAACTCGAGTATAAGTTGTATATTATAATTATAATATTTTTTTTTTCTCAATTTAATTTAATATCAATATAGATTACTGGGCCTCGCCGAGTTCAAAACTCGCGTGTGGATGTCCAGGAGTTATCTCCATTACATTTGATTTGTATTTTGGCATTTTCGACGCCGCAATAGCGCATTATCGTAGGGACCTCCCCATCTCATTATGTCACATGCGGTTACGGATTCAACGACAGTTAAATACATAATTCTTATGTAGTCAAATGTCTCACGTAGTAGTTTCGTGAATATTGATCAAATAAGGAGTGAAGTGAAACGGCGGATTTATCAAAATTTAGAAAAAAAAATTGTTTTTTCACTTGTCCAGTTTTTATATACTACGCCGGAGTTATCGTTGGACTCGTTTGCGCTCTTATAATGAAATTAAACAACGCGTACAGTACGCGCCTTGAACAATTATCATTTTGTACACCCATCGGCGTTATTCGTCGAGTTTTAATAATTATAAATTTCGATACAAGAGTGCTAGCAGTTTTAGTTACTCACGTCCTCCCCGCCAGAGGCTTTAAAGCGCAATAATTTATTGTCCGCCTTACAGATACCGCTCTCTGGCCGCGGTTTATTTTCTTGGTGAACAATTAGGTATTGTTCGCGCATCGCAGCTAAAATGAACCTAGTTAATTTTTTGTTTTTCTTTTTATCGTGGAACGTAGGTAGCGCGCGCGGTCGACCGTATTACAAATCGAATGTTACCTCGCGTTCGTCTGTACAATAATAATAAAATACAACATTGTATACGGCAGTTCTTCAGCTCTGTGCCGCCGTCGAAACGAATCGACGGACGGCCGCATAGATTTTCGTTTTTGGTGGTGGGTCGTCGGGCGACGGCGCGGAGGAACGGGCGTTGAACACTCGCTGGCGGTGCGGGGAGGTGGTTACGCGCGCGCTAGCTAGTCCGCGTCCGTCCGCGTCGGTAGGGGCCTCGCGTCGGCGGCTCGATGATCCGGCCGTGAGAGTGCGTGGCAGTTCGCGCTCAATAATTCCCGTTTACCGAGCCGTCGCTTCCACGTCGACCGTCGTTTGTCCGTCCGTCTATTATCACGTTCCTCTAGCGTCCCCTCCGCTGCGACCAATCGGTGACCGTCAGCTCGCGTCCGCCGGCCGCTCCTACCGGCACGCCACACAGCCACGTTACGGACGTTCGCGTTGTTCGGTGTTCAGTCACAGTACAGCCGTCGTTTCTCACGGTTTTTCCGTGTCTTATAGCGAGTTACTTAATCGTTTTTCGCGTACTCCGTCGCCAGCAAATACATTTTCTCGAGCCGAGACACCGTGATCATCGTACGTATCTGTCTGTTATAGTGTTCCTCCCGAGTCCCCACCACTACCGCCGCCAACCAATCAGCGACCGTCGGCTCGCGTCCACCGCTGCCGAAAACGCCGCACGTACACACGTACCGGTCACCTTACGAACAACCGCATTGTTCAGTCTTAGAACAGCCGTCGTAACTCACACTTTTACGCGTATACAGTTCCGTTGTTTCATCGCGTTCGGTTAAATTTTCATTTTCCGCGTTGTTCGTTGCCGTTAAACAGATAAATCCGAACGAATTTTCACCATGAACTTGCGGGAAATTATTTTCTATTCAATCGCTCCAGCTTGTTGCTGGCTGGTGCTGTTAAATGCCACTACGCACTACGTGGCAACACGATTACATAGAGTGACTGAAGTTTGGAGTCACTATTTTAATTTCGCCCAAGCTTACACTAAATTTGCTGAACAAAATAACAATAATTTGTCCATACCGCCGGCAATCCGAGTTCGTACTCCGGCCGAATATGACTTCGAAACACAACAAATTGTTCAGTACATGATTTACAAATTGGTATTTGTGACGTGCGTGGTTATTGTACTTCAAGTGAGTTTACTTTTGTTTTGCCTGTACAACGAGGAGCACATCAACTACACCAGCCAGCTAATTGAGGTGCAGTATATCCACGAGGGCGATGACGACGAACAACTACGTTACTTTATCAGTGTTCCACAAGATCCACACGAACCTAACAACGAAGCCATTCATTTCTTCGATAACGTCTTCGGCGAGTTCCACGTCGACGAGATCAACATCGATGAAATCAACGTCAGCGAAGAAGAAGAAGTAGAAGAAGGAGAAGAAGGAGAAGAAGGAGAAGGAGAAGGAGGAGGAGGAGGAGGAGAAGAAGGAGAGGAAGAAGAAGAAGAAATCTTCCTCTAAAAGCATACTGTTGTCATAGATAATCGACTTCGATCATAATATTATCTATGACAACAAAAACTCGGATATCCATCATATCATTTTCGTTTTCATCACTGGCGTAACAATTGTAATTTTAATTTCGTTTTGTACTCCACGATCAAAATTTCAAATTCCCGAACTTTTCTTAAACGGCAAATATGAAGCGGGATGCAAAAATAGTGTCCCCGACGCACAATTATTACGCCAATGATGAAAACGACGACGGCGGTCAAAATGTAATTACAGTGATGGATTTTTTATACGCGGACAAGGATGACACAATACACGATTCATATTCAGTACAGGTATGAATCCCACGATTTTTTCAACCGATTATACCGCGTACAACATTATAATAACAATAATATTAAGGCCCCAGGATTCGTATGCTCGCGTGTATTTTCATTTATTAGTTTTGTAAAAGTAACTGAGCGAAGACACAAATAATTTGAAAACATACAACGAATTAGCCAGCACAATTTAATTTCGCATATATTTACATATTTGGAGCATTTCCAATTGTTGTCGTGTTTTTCATTCCGTTTACACTGTGCCAACAATCAATCGCATATTTTTTATAATTTTTCAAAACTATATAAATAATAGGTACTATAATACCCAAGCTATGTATACACATTTTGATTATTTTTTCCCATATGTCAAATCGTTGACTACTCGGTTAATATTGTTGGCGTTTCCTCGATGTGTTGTTCATTATTATAATTGACTCGAGAGCTCGCTGTAATTAATAGTTAAAGCTAGCTGTACGTGCGACAGCTATAGTGTCGATATAGCGAAAAACAATAGAAAAAAAACTTACCACTATGCATACATAGAGACATACATTTTTTCATGTTTGCATATTTTGAATATTTTTAGCGTATATTTTAACGGTTACAAGCGTATAATGGGTGCGTAACGTATACGAGTCCAGACCTTAATTATTATAATAGTTTCCTTCGACGATTTCACGTCGAATCCGCAGAATGGTGGTCCTTTTTGCTTTATTCGTTTATAATTCTGTATAATATATTATATGCCCGGAGGTAGAGACTTCGTAAATGACGTTAGCAAACTATAGAAGTGCAATACAACTATATTGTATATTATATATATTACGGACAATGTGTATTTTTTAATTAATTTATACTTTTTATAATAATCTTGGTTGACATGTCTGGTTGCACTTAGATTCGATTTTGGAACAAATAATAGCCAAATGTCATAGGTAATAAAGTAATGGATTGGTCATGCTATTGTTTTATGTTGTGACGGAAGAGACCCTGTGTTACCAATATGGTTCAAAATGTAACACTGGTTACCAAACATGGTATTATGGTCTTATCACTCATCATGAATGTTTTGATAATTTTACCGCTATCCGGCCACTACGATTTATACAAATCATAATTTCAAATTTTAAATTAAAGATCTTAGTCTCCACGCTCTACTATAATTAATAGCTATAGTTTACTATCAGCTTATAAATTATGGTCTATTCAAAGTGTATCTATTGTGGATTATCTTCAATAAATAATGCAGATTTGTAATTTCATTGCATGATTAATAACATATTATACATATAATATATTACATAACGCATAGAATAAGAATAATATAAAAACTAATGAACCAAACAACTTATTGAAGTATTATTTATTATTAACGATAACAAAATATTATCATCTATTACTATCAATTACCTAGTAAACACTCTAATCATTGTGGTAACATTAGTTCTCTTCATTCACGGTATAGGGATGGCCCATCCATTAATTCATTATTTATTTTGTATGCCAAATATCGATGTATCGAAATATAATATCAAATTATTTATGATAACTGATAATACTGATAAGCACGAAATTGACAGAATCACGGTTATAGATATACCGTATTTATATACAAATTCTTTGTGATAACTGATAAGACTGATAACACAGAATTGACAGATTCATGGTTATAAATAACCTAACTGTATTTATCATAGATAATATGATAAGACACTCCATTTATTTAAGTGTTTTAAAAAGCATACTAGTGTTACCAAGGTGGTTACACATAATTAAGGTGTGGTATCAATCATAAGTGACAACAAAAACGACATTCAGAATAAATCAGTATCTATAACCGCATATAACCATTGTGATACTATAGTATATTCTTCGCTCATAGTATACCGTGTATAATAGATATGGGGCCGTATAATATATATATACTATATTACCTATCTATAGTAGTTATATATAATTGTTTGTGATTACTGATAAGAATGATAAATACAGTATTGACAGAATCACGGTTATAGATATATCGTTTAGGTATACACATAACCGTACACACTATAAAATAAATCCAATCTATTCTATGATATAGTTTTAATTATTTTAAATAATTTGTAAACATTTTTATTATTATTGAATTATTCTTATTTAATTAAGCTTATATGTTTATATGGTTTAAAGTAATGTACTGATAAAATATTTATAGCAATACGAACAAATACATTATTTTATAAATTACAATTACATTTGTCGGGGTGCCATAAATTATTTGAATTTTTTTATTTCCAGTTTCAAAATATCATTGATTCAAAGTTTATGTTTTCAAAATAATGGCGATTCAAATTAATAAAATATTCAAAGATTCTTATAGTATCAAATAATTTTATACTTAAAGCGATATTATTCAAAGTTTTACATGCACCCCATTAGTCAGTCCATGGATTATAAATATAGAAGTTTTGACTACCTTCTATCAGCTAATCGGATCTTGTAGTCTAATTATTTACCTATGGTTTATCGAGCTTCACTAAAAAAGCGTTCTGAAGGTATACCGATATTAGGAATCAGAAGATATTTCATTAATAGTTTATATAATTTTGAATAAACTACTTTTGTACTTTCCCATCCAACGGATCTTAATTGAGTTAAAAAGTATTTTATTTTAAGTCAAGGCTGTCATTCCACTTTTTTTCAGGGGATGAAAAATGAATATTGAAAATTGAATAGTAAAGCTGTTCAATTTAATTGGGTACCATATAAAGGAGAAAATGAATAAATTTCCACATAAAATTATATTTTTCAATCATAACATATTAATATTGATTATTGATAATACCCGCAATATTCAAACATTTAAATACCAATTTCAGTATAGTATACTAATATAATATTATATTAGTTTATTAATTTCACACCTTTGAAATTTAATTGCTGGACCCTCCATTTTTTTTTTTATTATCATATAAAAGTTATATTGAAGAAATTTGGGCATAACTACTCATCCCTTTCCCGTGCCCCAAGAGGGTTGAATATTAGCCAAAGGGAAGTTTAATTGTTTTTTATATTTTCTTCAAAAAATATTAGGTTTATCATAAAAATATATTGAACCATAATTATAGAATAAATTATTTTCTATAAAAAATGTATTTACAACATTTTTCGTAAATCTAATATTTCCCTCTTAAAAATTAATTCTTTTGGTTTTTTCACAAAATTTAATTTTTTTACTGTGGTTTCAATATATAATATTAATAATATTTATGTAATAATAAACGAAATAGTTTAAGGTGTATTTCTAAGTACTAAGTAGTTTTATCTTCAAATGGTGTAATCAAAACTTGTCTTGTACAATTTTTATATGTTTTTCTGTATTTTTGAATAACCTAAAATTAAATACATAATAAGATAAGTTATATAAAATTACATTTATTACAGATATAATTTTTTTTAACCCACTTGAAGTAAAAATTGTTTTTGGTTTTCATTTTTAGAAAATTTATCGTTGAAATCCTCCATAAGCTTTACTCCCCTTTCAGCTGTATCATTAACGATTTGTAACGAATCTATTGTCCTTTTTGCCGACTGGTATGCAAGATTATCATTCCACTTAATTGGGTTCATTTTTAGGTACTCCGAAGAAATTCCGAATCTTTTAAATATTTTATACGACTTGTAACTTAACAAATTTACAGGTAGTTCTTTATTTAAAAATTCATCCACGTCTTCTAACTTCAAACATATTCTGAATTAATACTACATTCTATGTCCTCCTCTTCCTCGGAACTAGTGAATGCCGGTGTTTCAACTATAATATAATAGTAAAATAATTTATAATATGATCAATGAATAGATAGCTACAATAGGTAGTTGAATGTTTTTCAGTATTAAAATTGTAATAATTACCTTGNCATTCTTTGTGAACGTAAAAATTCTTTATCAATTTCAATGTTCATTATGTTAAATGCATTTGCATGTGCTATGTCAAATAAGTTGTCTAATTTTTTTTCAAACTCTTTTAATTTGAGATGTATATGTTTCGTTTTTCCGTTCTTTATGTTTTTCGAGATTTCGCCATAATTCATACGACTTTTTTAATTTCTTCATGCAATCTGCTCGATCTTTAATTGGAATTCGTGCTTTTTTCCAGAATATGATACATTCATCAATAGCTAAATATGCACTTTCTGACAAATTCATTTTCACTATTCGCATATTAAAAAATAAAACGTTCATACAGTCCCTTAGTGTAGGCAGTTTACTGCCGAGAATTTGATTATCCATTGATCCAATCAAATATATTGTCTTTCGTGGCATTTTTAACAAACGTCGACAATTTTATTTTAATAAATACAAAAACAATTTAAAAACTTAACTTTAAATAGAAACAATAAAATATCATTAATATCATACACAGCACATGACGTTACGACGATCACGGGTTGACTAACAAATAATATTCATAAATTCTATGGAAACTATTTAAAGATAAATCGTAATATCTAATAATCGATAAGATAACTGAGTTAATGGACTCAATAAAATAGGTATTAACTAAAAGGTATGTACAATATCCCCATGATAATAATTATTTCAGACCAAATTTAATAATAATATATAAATAATTTCAAAAGGTGATGAATTTTCCCAAATAAATTAAATATTTTATATTTTATTATTTATTATATAGCATAATAGATTTACGAAAATTTTGTACAAACATTTTTTTTATAGTACTTAATTTATTCTACAATTTAAGTTCAATACATTTTTATGATAAATCTTATGGTTTTCGAATAAAATACAAAAAACCGTTTCACTACCCTCTGTCCTATATTTAAGTCTCTTGGGGCACGGGAAAGGGTTGAGTAATTATGCTCAATTTTATTACATATAACTTTTATACGATTATGAATAAAATGGGAGGGTCCAGCAATAAAAACAATAATATTTTTTTTTATCTTCTACAACTAAGGACCACCCTACAGTATATCTTATTCCTATATATATCTGATTACAATAATAATCCATAATTGTATAATCCTATACAAATTATTAGGTGGACCTATCAAAATAATGTATACAAAATATAGCACGTATAAAGTTCTACTTAGTGTGTTGTGAAATTTCGATAATTTTAGTATAAATATGGAAAGCTTTAGGTAATTTTAAAATTACGGATTTCCTCACTACCAACTCTCTTGTACCCCGACAAATTGTTCAGATATTTTAGCGTGTCTCTATTATTTATTTTAAGTAGAACGTATAGGATGGTACATATTTTTAATTTTAATCAAAGTACATTTTAATTAAAATTTTAACTTTAAACGTTTAAAATAAAAAAAGACGTCCTGGAATAATGGCAACGAATGCAACCACTGTTATAAGTAATGTATACCTGTAAGCAACGATAAACCATTGCTTACGAAAAAACGATTCTGAGCGGAGTTCAGTCGATATTATTGCTTTTTTAACAATATATATATGCCATATTACAGTAAAATAATTCAATATGTATATTCAATATATATTTTGTTTCATAATATTTGTTTAATGTTCTGTTGATTTCCCCGGTTTTCCTATGTTTTCCCGGGTTTTCCAATGTTTTTTCCAAGTTTTTCAAATTCGTTGAGAAAACCCCGGAGAAAATTGAAAAACGACCTTTTAAAAGTACCTTTCCAGTGAAATTTCCATTAAGAAAAATTGCTATCATTAAAAGTTGGAACAAAATTTGCGATAGAAAAATTGTCCACAGGAAAAAAAAAATCGTAGTATTATACAAATGTATTTCGTACATTTTCCCGATTTTTTGGGTTTTTTGCATTTGATGAGAAAAATCTTGATAAAATCGAAAAATGACCTCTTTAAAATACCTTCCAATAACAATTTTCTTTCAACTACACGTAAAAACTGGAGCAAGTCCTCTGGTAGAAAAATTGTCCACAAAAAAAACAAAATAAACATTTTTGTGAAAACATAAGATATTAACTCTTTGCTCCACTCAGAATCTAAAATAAATAAATTACCCTCAAATTTTTACTACTTATTGTAACTTATGATAAACCTTGTGTTCAATTTTGGACCATTTACGCTAGGCTAAACATTTAAGTTATATAAAACCAAATAATAACCTAAAAATTCGAAAATTTCAAATATATCTCTAAATAAATGAACAATTTCTAGAATATTTTTAAAATTGTATTATGTCTTGAATGAGGTAGATATTCATTTCAGTCTACACGATTATTTTTTATAAAACTACAACAAAAACTTAAAATGCAATATAAAAGATTTTTTTCTCGGTTTTCCTCATTATTTAACAAAGGAAATTAACAACATAACCGCCTTATTACACTAATTAGAAAATATCTATTTTCTATCAGAAACTAACACTCGTAAAGTTAATAATTAAAGCAATATTTTTGGTAGAAAATTTGTTAGTTGATAGAAAAAAATAAACATATTTTTTAGTAAATCTATCACACAAGAATTTAAAATAAATGTATATTGATGCAAACATTTAGCTTACAGTAATGTTATTAAGTAGTCCTTTTTCTTTCGTAAAATATTAATCACTTATAATTATTTTTAAAAATAATTGTTATAAGAGGGTGTGGAGATGAAGCACATCATAAGTTACGTTGAATTCAATAATAATATAATTTATGCAAGTCGTATAGTCCCTTTTCATTTATTTGTCCAATATTTATCATACTGCTGTGTCATACCATCACATCCTTTTTTGACGTTATCATTTTTGTTGATTATATTTTTTTGAATTTGAAATACTCAGACTCATACATTGCAAAATAACTATACACGGATATACATTAGTTATATACAAATTCTCTTTTATTCTTAATGGGACCTTAAATCATTCTTAATTACTTCTGTAGTCCAGTCACTGTCCTCCACATTCACTCAGCCACGCTTAAATTCTATACTATCTATACACTTACAATTATTCCTTCAATCACTTGCATCACTGGGTACTCGAACTTTATAATTTCACCTCCTTGTTAGATTACTCCATTGTGATTTCCATTCATTAATTACCTAATTATTTAACTTATACAATTCAGTCTTAGTCCTACTTTTTTGAACATAATGTATTTATTAATTTACAGGTTTTGTGCTGTAACTTTATTTACGATTTACGGGATTATGTATACACAAAGTGGAAACTATCAGATAGTCAATACAACCATAGCCTAACAAATGTGCAGGTTAGTACAATAATTATGTATATTTTAATATTTTTGGTTAACTTAAACATTAATCGTTAAAAAGAATCGTTTTACGTTAATTGAGTCGGAAAATAAACAGTTTAGATAATTTATTTTAAGATTAGATTTATAATAATTTTTATCCAACATGAACAAAATTTTGATTAATCTGCGTGTAAATTATTAATTATGTAACATTAGTATTATCAAATTTCAGTTGTAAATGTTGCAATTATAGGTTTATCTAGCATCCATTATTCTAGAGAGTTGCGTAGCCAGGGTGTTATATACTCTTCCTGAAATGTCGACAACAATTTTTGAAATTTTTTAACTTATACGATATTTATAATGTGAGACACCTGTTTGTCAAATTTCTTTTCATTTTTTTTGAGATTTTAAAAATTATCTTTTAAGGTCGTGAGCATCGTTTTTAAGAAAAATGTTGGGATTTATTGTTTTATTTAATTCTTTTTATATATAGCCAGTAATTTTCGAAGTAAGATCATTGTATCGAAAATTATTAGAAGGAAAAAAAATACACTTCAATTTTTTTAAAACAATTATACTTAATTTTGCCATATTTTCAAGCGTCTAAAATTAAATTTTGATAAATATAAATCATTTTAAGTGTCCTAAAATAATATTTTTATGGGTTCAAAATACTTTTAATATTATTCACTAAGAACAACTTTATTTTTCCACATTCCAAAATTTTAAATATAGGTACCTAGTAGATTTGTTATAGATATTATTCTAAAATTTGTAATCTAACATACATGTACACCTGATAAAATATGATTTCTTAGTAATGGCTGTTTAATTTTTATAGAAAAGGTATGTAAAAATTGTAGTCAATTGTATAGTAGTAATTAGGGGGTTTTAGTAGATTCTTAGCACCTCCAATATTAGAAACTGGTACCCCCAAAAGAACCAATAAGCTTAATCAAAGTGATGGCTTAATATTTTATCCATGTATTTCATAAATGATAAGCAGAATAAAATACATATTTCTTATAGCAAATGCATGATGCATGTGTGTATGGAAAATTATGTCAACTTAGTTGTAATAAATTTGCTTATACTGAATTTAAATAAAACGTGTAATTATGTATTAAAAAAAGTTATATTTATTAGATTATGGAAGTAAAGCCTCAATGGATCTTTCATTTGTTTATAATTTTAACATTCCAAAGTTGGTTGTCTAGTTGCGCCTATTGTTGAAAGAATATAAATAAGGACAAAGGTGGTAAACAATTTCCCAATATTTTTTAAAATTATAAAAATATATATATTATTTTGAATTTTGATTTGCAAAAAATGTATTTTCTTCACATTTATTTCATAAAGCTTACAAAAGTAATTATTAGTATAACTCAAAATACAATCCATAAATATTGTGTTCGTAACAAAATTGAGAATGAAACATAAGTATTTTGAACCCATAAAAATATTATTTTAGGACATTTAAAATGATTTATATTTATCAAAATTTAATTTTAGACGCTTAAATAAATGGA